TCTTTCTTTCTCCCTCTTTACCTTGGTGTGCTCACTCCTGCCGGAGGCAGCACTTGGACATCCAGCCCCCCATCCCTCCACACACCCCATCCCTCCTCCTTCCCACCCTGGCACCTCTCGCTCACTTGGCCCCTTTTGCTGTTCATTTGGGCCGCTCTCTCGCTGGCTGCCGCTCCCACTCGCACGCCTGCGTCCTCATCGCCTGATTTGGGTTTTCTTCTTGCTTTTTGACTTCGCCGCTCTCCCATCTCTCCGGCATCCGGTGCCAAGTGTGCCTCTCCCCCGCCTCGTCGCCTCCCACCCCAGTCCCAGCTCAGCCCCTGGCACCACTTGGAATAGCTGCAGAGCTGGTGCGGACCATGGTGGGGGCTTCGGGGCACCTCCAGCCCCCGCCCGGGCACCTGGTGACGATGGCAGAAACAGCAACCCATGTTGGGGCTGCCCCCCTCGCGTGTGGCGGTCCCGCAGGTGTAGGTGTGGCGTATGGGCAGTGTGTGTCTATGCAGACGCGACGGTGGGTGCGCCCACCCGTGCTTGGCGTGGGCTGTTACACCCCCGTGTCATGGGCTGTTTGGGGGTGGGGGATGTTCGGATGGGACTGCAGGGTGAGCCTGGTGTGCCGGCACGTGGGCGAGAGCCGCTGGACCCGGCAGCTGCTGCCGCCAGCCTCTGGACTCTGGCAGAAGAGGGGGTGTACCACCACTGTGCCCCATGGCAGAATAAAAAGGGGGATGCATCTGCGAGACAGGGGCTGAGGTCTCCCTAGTCCTGGTGGGCTCCGTAGCTCTGCGCCTGGGAGGTTGTCCTCCCTACAGAAGAAGGTCCTGCTCAGAGATGGACGAGGGCAGAGCTGTCCCTCCAGCGGCATCCTGTCCCTCCTGGGAAGAGGGGGTGTACCACCACTGTGCCCCATGGCAGAATAAAAAGGGGGATGCATCTGCGAGACAGGGGCTGAGGTCTCCCTAGTCCTGGTGGGCTCCGTAGCTCTGCGCCTGGGAGGTTGTCCTCCCTACAGAAGAAGGTCCTGCTCAGAGATGGACGAGGGCAGAGCTGTCCCTCCAGCGGCATCCTGTCCCTCCTGGGGTGCAGGGGGATGGATCCAGCATGGATCCAGCCCCCCGATGTAGGAGCATGTGGGCTCGTGCTGGCATTGCCCGTGGTCTCTGCACAGCGATGCTCTTCCTGTCGAGCAGGGGACAGGCTGAAAAATCATCTCCTGCTGCACGGGTGGCAGTGGGACGGCTGGTCCCCCCCAATGATGGGCACCTTCTTGGGGGGGGCTGCGCTAGGTGGGACCTCCTTGCCCTTGGATGGCAGAGCGGGCAGAGTTAAGGGGATGGGGAGCACGCACGTGCTCGTTTCCCAGCTGTTGGACCGCGAGGAAGGTGGGAGGCAGAGGGTTTTCACCCATGTGGGTAAACCTCTGCCTGCTCTCGCCAAGCTCCTTCTGGGCTCTGATTTGGGGTCCAGCTAGACAGGAGCTCCTTCAGCCAGCAGTGCTGATATGGGGTGAGTCCCCTCGCGAGGGGCTCCCCTTCCTCGCGGCCCCTCTCCTGCACCAGCCCCGTACAGATGATGCTTTCTGACCTTTCGTTTTTCTGTGTGTGTACGTGTGTGTGTTTGTCCTTGGGTCGCCTTCCACTTATAGCATTTCGTTTGGAAATGACACTAGGTATTTCGTGCGCACCCACTCGGTCTGGTCCCTCCTGCTTTTCTCTCTTTCTCCTTTGCCTCCTCCCTTTGCTTTTTGCTCTTTCCTCCCTCCCCTGAGGCCCCTCTTCTCCTCCTCCTCCCTGGGGAGCACTCTTTTCTCAAGCGACCTGTGTCTGCAAAGCGATCCTTCGCCTTGGCTCCGTCTCACGTGGGGTTTTTTAATGTATTTTATACACCTTCTGAAAGCGTCGCTGTCGCTCTTCTTCCAATGTGGGGGCAGTTGCAGCCGAGACCCTCTCCCCGCTCCCTCTGGCCACCCCAGCTCTCGTTAAAAGAGCCACTCAGCCACCTGGATGCTGCTTTGGGGACGTGCCAAAGCGTTCTCATTGAGACATCGCTGAGCCACGGCTTCCTGAGGATGCTCAGGCGGGAGCAGGGGCTGCGGCAGCTCTGGGTGGCTTTGGGGAGTGGGCGTCCCATAACCCTAAGGCTGGCCCAGGAGGGAGCCCAGGGGTAGGGCAGGGGCATCCCCTACGCTTGCGAACCGGAGCCGCCTTCTGCTTCCCCTACCCTCGATGGCTTGACCCAGAGAGGGCGGCTGCCGCTCTTGCTCTGGGCAGCTGCAACGTCCTCTGTGGAAGCCCGCAGGCACCGGGCAAATGGGGCTGGCTGTCCCCTGCTCCTTCTCCCATGGGAAGCACAGTGAGGGGAGCGAGGGAGCCCAGTGGGAATGGGGATGGATGGGGCGGGCCATCAGGGCAGAGCAAGAGCTGGGGGAGCAGCCAGACAGGGGCCAGCCACCAGATCGTGGTCCCCGGGTCCCGCTGAGGCTCAGGGCTGGCAGGTGGGGCAGCCCTGGGGAATGGGACCTGGCTGGCGGCAGGGGGGCCGCTCTCCCAGGGGTGGGCT